TTTGTATATATGCATGATTGCGATTAGTACGAGTGTGATACTTTTGCACTGGATACCTGCGTACTGATGGCGTTGGACGAGCAGTTCCCGGATTTGCTGATATGCCTTGCAAATATGTTTGGGTCGGGAAAGAATGGGATTTGTGATGCAAGATTTCGATCGTGGGAGATGCCAAAACCTGTATTGCACGAGCAGCAAAAAGAGAACTCAGAGTTTTGCCACCCCTAGAGGGCGCCTCTCATACCGGATAGGCATGAGCATGAAGAAAGCAAGCCTTCGTGTTCGTGATGCAAGCTGTGTTGCTAGCACATGCAGTATGTTGGCATGGCGAGTCATGTACAATTTGCATGAAGACACCCTCTCCCCCCCGATCTTCCAGAGAACCTGAACCGAGACATACTTGCAGTTGATTGCTGACATCGTGGGACGACAAAGACACTCCTGACAACCTAAATGACGACACTGTTTCGGTCGAACAAGAACATCTAAACCACATCTTCTACACCGAATCGGTGCCGGAGGGCAGCCCGCCCGATTACTCCGGGGAGGAGGGTGCGAACGGGATTAGATTGGACCGTTTCCGGGATGACGTGGCAAAGTACCAGGAAGCCGCCTACGGCGCAGTGGATCACGATCCAAATGATAATTTGAAGTTCAATACGGATGTGCCGGACGGGAAGCAATATATGACTCTCCCAGAGGGAGGCTATGGCTCGCTCAGGTGTTACAATGATTTCAACAGACTGTTAGTACCGGGAATATGAAAGCGGAGTAGAGTTCGATTTGTAATGCAAAAGCCAAAGTCGCTTTGGCTTTCACTTTCAAAATTTGCATGAAATTTATTTATATTTTTCTATAATCCAATTCGGATTGGAATTATTCCAATCGCGATCTATCGCAGATGTAGCTAGTATCCTCATAGAACGACGATTTCCTTCGGACGGTCCAAAGTTCAGTAAAATTATCTAGCTAAATTTGCATATGCGAAAAATAGTTGGCCGTGGAGCAGAAGCTCAATCTGTACCATTTTGGTCGTCATGTCGTAGTCGCGCAAGACAAACGTGACGAGAGGACTGTTCTTTCATTGTAAACTACAGTTCTTAGATGAAGAAATTGCAACACTTGAGCAGGTGATAGAGGCATGAAGGAGTTTCTCATGGAGGCCCGAGCGAGTATACGGCACGACCCCGGCAATGAGAATGACCTTATCTTTCCTCCGGAAAATCGAAGAGACAACCAGATCGCTCCCTTTGAACTGAATGAAGACGCGCGAAGGGCCATGCTAGCGGCCTTGATCGAACAATACCCCAAAAGGTTTGACGGGGGATTTGCAAACGACTTGGATGGACAGACTTCGCCCTTGGAGCATATCAACGACCTCAGTCACTACGTGACGTCGACGAGTCCCAACGGGATCGATATTTTATGGGAAAATCCCCCCTTCCCATACTCAAAGCGGAAATTTGTAGTTGCTGACTCTTCGTGTAGTACACAAGTCCATTTATATTGCATAACGGGAAACAAGGAAGGGCGCTTTGTAGTTTTCTGTAGGCGGAGATTTCTGTCGTGTCTGTTTAGGCCGGAGAGAAGGCGTCTGTGATGCCAAGCAGATGATCATAGGCAGTGCCTCCGACGTAAACAGGGTCGTTAGGATCATCTAGTAGCTCAGATGTAGTTGTTATCCTTATCCTCGCAGCAATACAAAATGATCCGTGTATAATGCAAAAAATCATGTTACACAAATCTCTGACTCTGATTGAATATGGGGGCGAGGGTAGTGGATTTTTCATCTTCATAATCGAGAAGCTTGAACTAAAAGCCGACGTCACCGAAGACCAAGTCCAAGATCTCCTTCGAAGATTCGACGACACAGACGGCAAGTTCCACTGGAACGACGTGGACATGGACGAATTTCGCAAGGATTTCTACCACGCCATGCCTATTCCAGAGAAAAGTTGTACGCCCATATCAGCAAGAGGATATATAGAAAAATGATAAAATTATTCGTACAATTGGAATAGCGGGTGTTCTTTGATAGTTATATTTTTACGGCACAAAAAACTCCGTGAAGATGCTCGCATGGTATGGGTGTGCTTTTTCATCTTTTTCTCTTTGATAATGCCCGAGCAGTACCAGAGAGACCACGGGGAATTGTTGCCCTACTACATGCGCAGCCACGAGCAAGTGGACGAAATGGAATTCTCCTCCCAATACCTCGCCCTGCCTGCAGAACGCGAAGGCGGAAAGGAGCTGCACGACTTCATCCTGGGCACCGTATCTGAGCAGCCAGTATGGCGCTCTCAAAGAACGTTTACATGGATCGCAGCTGGTGCGTAATTTTCTGATGCAAAAAGAACTGCGCGTACGAGCAGAAGAGGGGCGGCAGCTTGTGTGTCTTGTTTCACTACGATGCATAGTAACAGACGCGCAAGCTTTTATCGGCATCATTCATTGCATGATTTGGGACAGATTGTACTATCGCTATTGAGCGCCTCGGCCTCCGTATCTTCATTATAAATATAGCTTGATGTTGTTGGTGCGGACGAGTGAATGATGTGATACTGATTAGTCGCTCATCTGCGGGGCAAGTCATAATCATATTACCATTATGATGTTAAAGAGGTGAGCCGGCTGCCATCTTTTTCCAATGTTAAAGGGGGGAATGGAGGTGCCCCGGCTGCCATCTTTTTCCAATGTTAAAAGGGGGAATGGAGGTTCCCCGGCTGCCATCTTTTTCCAATGTTAAAAGGGGGAATGGAGGTGCTCCGGACATGGTCCGCCCACCGCGCTTTTTTCCAGTGTTAAGAGGGGGAATGGAGGTGCCCCGGCTGCCGCCTACCTTTTTCCAATGTTAAAAGGGGGAATGGAGGTGAGCCGGCCGCCATCTTTTTCCAATGTTAAAAGGGGGAATGGAGGTGAGCCGGCTGCCATCTTTTTCCAATGTTAAAAGGGGGAATGGAGGTGAGCCGGCTGCCATCTTTTTCCAATGTTCAAAGGGGGGACGGAGGTGACCCGTCCGCCATCTTTTTCCAATGTTAAAAGGGGGAATGGAGATGAGCCGGCTGCCATCTTTTTCCAATGTTAAAAGGGGGAATGGAGGTGAGCCGGCTGCCATCTTTTTCCAATGTTAAAAGGGGGAATGGAGGTGAGCCGGCTGCCATCTTTTTCCAATGTTCAAAGGGGGGACGGAGGTGACCCGTCCGCCATCTTTTTCCAATGTTAAAAGGGGGAATGGAGATGAGCCGGCTGCCATCTTTTTCCAATGTTAAAAGGGGGAATGGAGGCGATCCGGCTGCCATCTTTTTCCAATGTTCAAAGGGGGGACGGAGGTGACCCGTCCGCCATCTTTTCCCTCCCAATGTTAAAAAGGGGGAACGGAGGTGAGCCGGCTGCCATCTTTTTCCAATGTTAAAAGGGGGAATGGAGGCGATCCGGCTGCCGTCGCATCTTTTTCCAATGTCAAAAGGGGGAATGGAGATGCCCCGGCTGCCATCTTTTTCCAATGTTAAAAGGGGGAATGGAGGTGAGCCGGCTGCCATCAACGCCCGTCGGTTTTGTCTCCTCCTTTATATCAACGCCCGTCGGTTCTGACTCAGGTGGGGCATCCCCCTCGTCAAAGGGTTCATCCTGATCGGCCATCTTCCGAGATTTTTCGCAAAGTCCGTCGGATCCGTCTCCTTTTATATCCGCGCCCGTCGGCTTTGTCTCCTCTTTTATATCGGCGCCCTTCGGTTCCTTCCGACCCAGATGGGCCATCTCCCTCCTCAGAGGGTTCATCCTGATCGCCCGCCTTCCGGGATTTTTGACAAAGTCCGTCGGATCCTTCACGAGCCCCATTCTGCTGCCGAGATTTTTGACAAGCGCCGGCGGTGTCTCCTGCTTTATATCAACACCCGCCGGCCCGACCCATGTGGGGTGGGCCACGCCATCCCCCTCCTCAAAGTAAGGGCTCATCCTGATCGGCCACCGCGGGTCCACCATGTTCGACCACCCCAAGAGGGGGAGGGGGGGGGGAAA